ACATAAAATTCTATTCGTCTTCTGCAAATTAAATTTAACAATTGATTAAAATTCCAATGTCTTCTGCAAATTAGTTAAACATTCATATGAAAAGAAAAGCAAATTAAAACACCAACCTGGGATAGCTTCTGACGGTACTCATCGGAGTCCGCTGGGATTCCGCGCAAAGTGAGCTTGTAGTCAACGGCGGTCAACGCAATCTGCAATTTCCGGAAACATATTACTAACAAAATGCAATTGATAGACAAATAAACTGGAGAATGTGAGAGAGGGAAGAAACAAACGGTGGAGATTGCGCGGGAAGACCGAACGACGCCGTGAATTGGTGTGCGGAGTTTGTTCGGGGAAGGATGGGAGGAAATCGGCGGAGGAGGATGGGAGGAAATCGGAGTTGAAGGCGTGGAAGGTGAGGCCAGTTGCAGCGACGAGGAGGACAGTGGTTTTGGCCCTCCGCATTTCTTCTGAGACTTTAATTTGTTTCTGGACTCGCAGCTATTCAACCATTAAAAACCCGCAAGATGTCCACGTGACGACACGGACTAACGGAAATCAAGTTCAGGATCAATCTAAAAGGTGAAAATTCTCTTGTGAATTATATTGAAGCGGTTTCCGGTGCACATATCATTATATTATTAAATAGAAACGTTATAGTTATGATGAATTTGTTTACGTAAATTGTTGTTGTTGTTTATTTTTTTTTTTATTATTTAATTTTATAGTAGATCAATTTGGTGTAAATTCTATTTAGAATTCAAAAGACTTTGGAGTAAGTTTAGATTAGGTACTAGTTTGGATATTTTTTTGGAGTTTTAACGAACACTTTTGAAACTATTCATTTTTAACGAAAATGACATTTCTAGTATTCACTTAGAACACTTTTTATCATTTGATTAAAACTCAAAATTTTCAAACTCTTTCATTAGTTTTTTTCTTCTTTTTTTTTCACAAAATAATAGTAGATTTTTTAAAAAAGAATTCAGTTGTTTGACCATTTAATTATCTGTAAAATTGATGATATGACAAACATGTTAAAGTTAGAACTGTGTTTTTAGGATGAGGATCCTCTCTGGATTCCCTTTGGGGGATCCTAAGGATCCTCACATCACAACCGTTTTTTACATCGTACGGTCAATTTTGTTAGTTACTAGTTATGTTTAATTTAAAATGATTTATGACCGCACGATATATGATAAACGGTTAGGATGAAGATTTCATAGGATCCCCACAATTTGGAATCTGGATGGGATCCAAATCCCTGTAATTAGGGCGCAAAGAAGCTACAATCATCATTAAACCAAAATGTTTTAGTGTCTTTTAAGAGTTGGACCGCTACAAGTCTTAAACTTTAGACATAAACTCACATATAAAAAACTCTAATAAAACTCAAAAATCTCTAAATAAATACTCTTTCCGTGTGAATACACTTAACTTTCTTAATCTAAAACTCCATCTCCCTCTCGTTCAACCAGACCAAAAACCATAGTTTCAATGGGACTGGCGGAAGCATGCGAAGAGCCGAAGAAAATTGATGAAAATTCTCATATTTCTCAGCATTCCAAAAGTTAGAATTGCCGTGGACCCAATTCTCTTCCTCCAACTGTTTGATGAGTAACTTGATTTTTCATATCAGCGCCCCATTGATCATTAAAATGTATGGGCCAATAGTGTAATATCGAGTATAAACAAACGCTTTTAGAGCAAGTACACCACAAGATTTCATCGCTCGTAAGCATATGTTAAAGCACTCACAACAGCGCCAAAACTATGATAGGAAGAGAGTAGGTTGGCTTTAATTTTCTTAATTTGCCTTTTATTTGACACCAACCATGTTCGACATGGTCCAGTATCGTCCAAACCATGTTCAGCAATCCAAGGGATGGGCAATGGTCCACTTACTCAACAGCTAGCCCCTGGCCAACCACCCTGCTTCATGAGAAGGTTTTGTATTACACAGGTACATCGTCACATGACGTTCGTTGTCAATAACTCACGTGATCATTGCCATGTTAAACCCCATACAAGTTGTTCTGTTTCATACGGGACTAATCGATTACAAGCGCTCATCGCAAACCCTAAAATCCCAAATTCGATCCAATTTCAAGCGCAATTCAAGAACTTACATTGGTTTTTGTGGGTGGCGAGGTAAAAATTTGTCATTGCAATTTGCTTCCGCATTGTCTTTGAATGTTTTTCGTGTATGTACACATCTGAACGTCCCAAATAAATTCTGAAATAACTGGTTATGGTGCATGGGAGTTCCGTAAAGAAGCATTATGCCACGTCCGGCTTCCACCCGCCGCTCACAAAAGAGCTCAAATAGTGAATTAACCGCGGCGGTGGTGGAAGCCGAAAAGAATAAATATATGATTCTAATTCATAATGTATCAGTATATGAAACCCAAAAGGTATATAAAAATCATAAATATTTTTTTTTTGATATATGGTGCAGAAAGATGGATCAGATACACCTGGCTTGGTGGTCTCTGTGTAATACAGAGATATAATTCGCTCAGTTATTTCAGCTTCGATCATTTGGGGAAATAATCATCACTTCCATCTTTCTTTCTTTTTCTTTTTCTAAAAACCCAAAATTAAAACATAAACATTGAAATATAAAAACAAAAACACAAAATTCAAACACCCGAAGAAATTTTTTTAAAATAAAATTAATAAACCAAAAATAAATAAAGATGGTGGATTTTGGGGATTTGAGAAAGATCAGAGTTCTGGCTTGGAAATTAAAAATAGCGCAAGTTTGAATCAGCTTCGATCATATGGGGAAAGTAGCATCACTTCAATCCCAAATCCACCTCCAAAAACATAAACCCTAATTTCAAACAACACATAACAAAACCACAGAAAAAAAAAACAGAGAGCCGAATAAAATCTACCGTTGACAGAAAAAGAACGGCTATGTAGCCCCGGATTAAAACCCTAAAAATAATCAGACACCGTGACGAAGAAGGTGAAGCGTTGGGGAGGAAGGAGATAGAGTAGGAGGGTCATGGAGGCGATTCAATTATATAGGCACTCGTCTTGCACTTGGAAACCCTAATTTCATTAGGTATTTTAGGCGCGGTCCAATTAATGACAATACGGCGCCGTAGCGTGATAGTTACCCTAAGGCCCAATATTAGAGGTAAGCCCATGAACTCTAGTTTCGAACAAAGCCCATCAATTTGGTTTTTTTCAGAATATAAAACATAAGGCACTGTTTGTTATCATCCATTGGAATTTTTTTTTTAAATATGCTTCGAAGAGTCTTCTCATGGTAAAAAAACTAATATACAAACCTATTACATATTAGGGTGAACTGCGCATACGTCGCATGGTGATCGACTCGGACTGTTTGCAATAAATTGGGTCCAGGGCGTATTGACATGGGCTTCTAGGACTTTCTTAAAGAATGTGGCCTGTTAGCCCGTTATAATTTGACTAATGCTCTATATATTCCGTCGAAGGTAAAGTAGTCATATTTGATATGTTATATACACAAAATATTTCGACTGGTCGAGATATTATACCTTCCCATAAATATTAAAGTATTAAACTGATTATCTTTGCTTTTACCAAAAAAACAAATAATATCGTTGCCAAACAGCACTATTATATCAATGATAATAAGTTTCAACAACCGTGCAAATACCCATCAAACCAAAGCCTGCAGAATCACATTCCATATGGTAATAAAAATAATAATAATAATTAGAAGGATGGTGATACCTACAACACCCATTACATATTACGATGATTTGCGCATAAGTCTCGTGGCAATCGACTTGGACTGTTTGTAATAAATTGAGCCCGGGGCCTATTGACATGGGCTTCCAGGACTTTCTTAAAGAATGTGGCTCATTAACCCATTATAATTTGACTAGCGATCTACATATTCCATCAAAGACAAATTAATTATATTTGATAAGTTGTATACACAAAATATTTCTATTGGCCAAGATATTTTACTTTCCCATAGATATTGAAGTATTCAATTGAATATCTTTGCTTTTACCAAAATACAAAGAATATCTTTGCCAAACAGCACATATTATATCAATGACAATAAGTTTCAACAACCATACAAATACCCATCAAACCAAAGCCTGCAATATAATAATAATAATAATAATTATTATTATTATTATTATTAGAAGGATTGTGTTATCTACACAGCTATTTTTACCTCTTACACACCGTCTCTCAATATCCGACTGTTAGATCTAATGAATCGACTAAGTGCAAAGGATATAAATTAACAAGAGGTGTGGAAGAGATAAAAATTTATATGCAGATAATACCACCCTAATTAGAAAAAGAAAAAAAATGGAAACCCACAATATACCCAAGGCCTGATTCCTTTAATTTCAACACATTATAATTCAAAGTACTAGTTATCATTTGAAAGATAGCTTCTTTGAGCTTTTATGGTTTGGATGATTGCGTGAGCCCTTGACAACTGTAACCGGACATGAAGCATTTGTCACCACATAGATGCTTACACTGCCCAGCAACACCCTGCAAATTCATCGCACATATTAATCAACCATTTTGCAGGAAAAATATTTAATCAAACACAAAAACTCTTATTTTCTCTCGTTTCTTTTATGTTTTTATGAGGAAATATTAGTCGAATAATGATCACCTTTTGATAGGGCCTAAGCCCCTGCTTCCAACGACAAGCGAATCAAGCTTGAGATCTTGCACCGCATCACACAACTTTTCTCTTGGATCCCCCCAGTACACCTTTGCCACAGCCTTAGCCTATACACAATATCGAATCAACACACAATTAATTATACTCTAATTTATAATCTAATAATTCATGTCTCTACGCACGCAAACTAATTTGTGAAGAGTGGCGACTACCAATCTACACAGTGTATGATATACAATATTAATATCAATATTATATTGATCGTATTGATAGTATACTAGACTTCTGTAGATCGATATTCATTACCAGATAATCGCTAGATAGATAACTACATATATATCATGACCGTTCTACCATCTTTCTGTGCAGTTGTGCAAATCGTATCTATTAGTCTATACTTCTATGTATACATACAAAATAATTAAACTAGAGATGAGATTAATATATAACAAATTATCATACCCCTTTAGTTTTTGACACTTTGTCAAGAATATCAAGCACCTCTGGATCATTTGTAAGTCCATACTGCTTTGAGACATTAGTCTCCACAAGTTCTTCCAGAGGTATCAAAGCTGCAATAAAAAACACAAAAAACAAAAAACAAAAAAAACAAAAGAAATTATATGTAATTCATCAATTTAAATGACTAAGGTAACTAATGATAATTAACAAGTATATAATGTTGAGAGAGAGTGAGACATGCGTACGTGATCCAGTGTTCTCAAACAGCTGCTTCCTGCTTGTGGTAGCTGCTGTGGTTGGCTCAACGTGGATTAATACGATGCGATCTCCTTGTTCGATCAGATTATCGACTGCCCATCTTAGTGCTAATTTGCTTGTTGCTGAATAATCCATTCCAACTCCTACACTGCCTGCCTTCCCCATCGATCTCAACTTCCGTTCTCTCTCTAGATCTCTCTCTCTCTCTCTCTCTCTCTAATTAACCTTTCTTTCTTCGAGTTAATCCGGCTTATCTATAATACTTGGGCATTGATCTTTTGCTGTGGATGATACAGTCTACAGAATATTAATTAATAGGAAAATAGACAGAAAATTTAGCATAAATTCTCCTGCAACTTGTTCTAACGTACATTAATATCATTTAGTCGATGTGCGCCCGCGGATTTGTTGCTTTAGTTAACACGCATAGATTCGTTCTTTTAGTATTCATGGAAAATACTTTACCTGATGCCCAATTTGCAGATACTTTTATATATACTTTTCCTATGGCGTTTCTAACAAGTTCATGTAACATGCATACTCTTCTAAAAAAAAATACACCTACTTTTAATTGTCATTTGTCACATTTTTAATTCATGGAACTATTACTTGCACTTTAAAATTTTCATTTTGCACTCCTTACAAGTGTATTTTTCTTTCCACATATAAAAAATTTAGAGTGCAAAATGAGAATTGTGGAGTACCAATAACAATTCTTTTAATTTATTGTGACTTCTAAAGTATAACAATGACTGAGCCGCGGAAGAAATTTTTTTTTTTTCCATTTCTTTCTAATTTATCTTCTACATTTGGATTCAGATTATGAGTTGTAGTCTCTATTTTTTGTTTTTGCTTTTACATTTGGATTCAGACAATGCGATGCAGTACTTTGTTTGTTGTTCTACTTTTACATTTGGTTCAAACTATTGCAATGTAGTGTCTGTTTTTTTATTCTGCTTTTACATTGGACTCATACTCTGTAATACAGTGTTTATTTTTGTAAATCTATTTTCCTATGGATTTTCTTCAAGTTTCCAAGAGATACAAGCATTACCTTGCACCATTTTCGTAGGATTTTCTTCAAGTTTGCAAGAGATACAAGCATTACCTTCCACCATTCTAAATACAAATTCAATAACAAAATTAAATAGCAAAAAGGGCCTAAAGTTCGAAGCACGACTTTTCCATATTTGATTAACCGCTCAGTTCCTTCTAAACCTCATCGATAGTACTTATGTTTAATATCTATATCCCTAGCCTCAACAAGCTTTCTTCTAGAAAATCTCTTCAGCAACCGATGTGTGACCACTACTACAAAAGTACCCAGTAGTGTCATTTTAAAAAGCGATAAGAAAAACTCATTTATGTCAGATGTTTTGGAAAAATCTAACATAAACTCATGTAATGTCAGATAAAAGAACCGACACCATTGCTAGCGTCACGAAAAGGCTTTTGTTGTCGATTAGTTCCCCTTTCCGCCAAGAAAAAGGAAAGCTATATAAAATAAAATAAAAGGATAGTAGTGTCGGATAAAAGTGACATTGAAACTTACGTCGGATACAGACGACATTATATACTGAGAAAGGCTGTCGAATTCAGCAGTTTGATGTCGCCCATAACCGACACCACTAACCATTAATAATAATAAAAATATAAAAACCCTATTTCAGTTTTTTATTAAATAAAATAATAATTAACAATGCACAACCTAATTAAGAATTCCACTGAAACCAACATGAAAGCAGTTCAAAGCACACAGACCACTCATAAACATTCCGTGCAATACCACAATGGCACAACCTAATTCATCTGATGACACCAAAATATAGTAGCTCTCCCAATTTACAAATAAACTGTTCAGCTAATAATCATGGCTTGCATTCATCCAAATAAACGTTAATCGACAGTGAATTAAACCGAAGAAGTACATTACATTTTTTAACCATACAAAGCAAGGAAAGTTAAGAGCAACCAAGTTTGAGCGTAAGAGTTGATTGAAAGGGAATTGAGACTGACCTTCCTTCATAAACCTTCCCATGCGCTCCCTCACCAAATTTCACCCCGATAAACAACAATTTCGGGTCCACCAGCAAATTCTCGTCGATTGTCAGCTGCTGGGCAGCAATCAAACCATTCTGCGTGCTCACTTCGGCTCAACAGCCTCTACATAGTCCCTCAAAACCGCTTGCTCACCGCTCCCTCTCTTCCCTTCCGCCGCGCCTCACTCTGCAACGCATGCTGCAACCCTCAAATAATTCCAGAATTCCCCATTCCAACCATCTCTTCCACTTTAATCACAAAATCCACATCACCCCAAATCAATATTCCGACACTTCATCAAGTTTCACTCAACTTTTCTCCAATTTTCACAAAACCAACATCACAAAAAACCCTAAGTTCTCCAAAGATTTTCTTATCCAAACTAAACATTCAGAGCAGATTCTAACCCCACTTCTACCAGAACTCCACGAATTAATCCCACAAAAAGGAAAGATAAAATGGGATGATGAGTGCATCGGGGAAGGGAAAGAGGAGGGAAGTACAGCGGGGAAGGGGAAAGAGAAGGGAGGTGCAGCGGCGCAGGAATAGTGAAGGAGAAAGAGATGCGCGAGGGTTTTGAAGTAGGGTATTTGATATTCCTGTCTGATAAAACCGCTAGTAATTTGTACATAACATCGGAAAAAAACCGACACCAACTCTGAAAACCGACAAAACTGCAGTAATGAATATCTGACACAACCTGCAAGCGTGTCGGTTAAACCGACACCACTCTGCACCAATTGACATCACTCTGTCCAATCCGTCAGTTACAACCGATACCACCAATTTCGCGTGCTAAACAAGCGGGAAGATTGAAAATTAAAACACATCCTGTTAGATAGAAAGCGTCAGAAATAGTTTTTTTAACCGACACTAATTTTTATATCGGTTTAAAAGCGTCACATCTCATTTCATCCAACACCATTATTTAAAAGCATTAAAAACTATCCAATGGAAACATGTTAAAGGGCGGTGCTATTTGACATTTTTAGTTTATGTCGGTTATAAAGCAACAGTGATGCTTTATCATCCGACATCATATAAAAAGGCTGTCGGAAATTTCTTATCCGACAATATATTGTATAAAACAGCCACCAGTCTTCGACACAATAAGCCAGTTTTGTAGTAGTGGACTACTCCTTCCAGACCCCCGCAGCCACCATCCACTTCACGATCTCGTGAAGGTCATTGAAGGTTCTGGAAGGAATCGTGTCAATCACAATGTCATGGTTGCGGATCACTGAGGTGTTGGGATCCGGTGCTACTCGTTGTCGCCAACGACCTCTTCCTCTTCATTGGAGAGAGATGGGAGAGAGGGGAGGAGAGAATGACGGGAGAAAGTAAGGAAAGAATGGGAGAGAGAGACGTGAGAGAAAGCCAAAAGAGAATGGAGTAGATAAGGAAAAGAGAGTGAAGAGGAGAGAAGGAAAACAATAAATTGAAGTAAGAGAAAGGTAGAATAGTTATTTTCTAAATAGCTAAGCACATGTGACATGCTTCATGGACTTATGACTAATTAGTAAAGATTCCACTGACCTTTTGCTAAATAACTCCCTTAGATGAGTAATTTATCTTTTATTTTAGTGTAAATTAGATAGAATTTATCAAAACTCAAAAGTCTTGAACAAGGATTTGGATCCAATTTGGAAACAACCTTTCTCTTGACACAGTAAAACCTTCCTAAAAGTTATACTTTATAAAACCTCCAGTCATATAAAAAATTCTAGTCCCAACTTGAGACCAGTTATGTATAAGATAGACTCCACAATAATAAGTTATAATTTTTCTTAGTCTCATGTTAAGGAAACACGTCTCCACATAATAATGTCAATGAGTACAAAAATATGCAATATCACAGATAAAAAATTTAGGATAAAAAACTATAATATTTCTCAAAAGTTGTTTAGGATAATGCTTTAATTTTTAGAATTGATGTCATGTCTTTGAGCTTGTGGATAAATTTGAGCAAGAAATAAAATACTTAGCGCCCAAGGAATCCAGAAATACAACAGTCATTAAGGGTAAATAAGTCAATGAATAATGTTTTTAACTAAATCTTTATTAAGTAATAACCTCCATAAAGTTACAAAATTGGTTTAGTCCAAACTTTAAGATTTTGTAATGGTTTTACAGCAATAGTATAGATGGCTAGCATCTCACACACACATTGATTTTTATGAATTATTTCATTTTAATAAAGGTAAATTAAGATTAAATACCAAGTTGAACATGAGTTTTAAGAAGAGAAAAATATCAATTTTAAGGAAAACTACCAAGCATAACCCCACAACCTAGGGCTGGGTACGAGCCTGGTTGGGCCTAAATTTGAAGAACCCAGTCCTATTTGATTTAAGTAACGGGCCAGGCCAGGTAGAAGGATTTTGAGTTTGGGAACCAGACCTAACCTGACCCATTTCAAATGGGCTGGTTCGGGACGGGTCCATGTAGGGGTGGGCACTTGGAACCGAAACATAAACCAAATTGGACCGCACCGAACGGTTCGGTTTTGCAGTTTTGAAATAATTTCGGTTTTGAAACCAAACCGCAATGTAGAAAACGGTTTGGTTTTGGCTTTTGAAAACCGCACCACAAATATTAATAACGTTTAATGAAATGTCCATATTAGATGTCATGTTTTAATTGATTATTTGTTAGAATTCATATATTTAGTATGAACTCAACCACATTAAAATATCATCATTCATCACTCATCACTCAATGCACTGATTGTAGGAGTTGTGCATTTGCTGCAAGTTTTTGGCTTCTCATAATTGCACTTATTTGATTTTAGGGAGCAAGGGTGCTCAGCTTAGAAAACATATTGACGCTAGTACACTTGGCAGCGGCAACCTAAGAGAATGCTTCCAACTGGAGAAGATTTAAATGAATGGCTTGCTGTCAACAGTTCTCGCTCTCTCTCTCTCTCGCACACACCCACACACACCCCATAAACTAGTGCCTGACAATTTTTAGTTTGTTTCGTCCATTATATGGTTGATACGTGGTTAAAAGTTTGTCTCATGACAAAAAACTTATTTGATATTAGGAGCTGTGCATTTGCTGCAGACAGTATCCCAATTTTAGATGAAAATAGATTATCAAAATATCCTCACTCAATGTACTGTTTGTGGACATGGGTTCATAGATTCATGTATTGTATGAAAATTGAAAAATGACACTATCTTATGCGTAG